CATGAAAAAGTTGCAAACTATGGGCAAAGGTATGGTTAAGTGCCAACACTGCGGACTCGACCACTGGTCCCTCCGGTGCCCGTATCGGCACCAATTGGCTCAACTCAAAGAGATGGGCGGATCGGGTGATGTCAGCCCCACTGGAAATCAGCACAACAGCTCCGGTATGGCACCGGTGGGCGATGGGGCGCCCAAAGTGGCCAAATACGTGCCGCCATCGATGAGAGCGGGCGCTGCCAAGACTGGCGCGTCGGACGATCGGGGTTGGGATCGGGACCAGGAATACACACTACGGGTGACTAATCTGCCCGAAGAGTCTACCGATGAAGACCTACGCGATCTGTTTCGACACTTCGGGCGCATAAAGCGGGTCTATTTGGCCAGAGATAAGGTGACTCTAGCGGCCAAAGGGTTTGCATTTGTCACCTATTTGTCTGAAGTGGACGCCGAGCGGGCCATCGCCGGTGTCCATAAGCACCGGTATGGAAATTTGATTTTGTATGTCGAGTGGTCCGATAATTAGGCACTTTTTGTAATATTTCTTTTTGGTTTTGAGTTTTGTATTTGATTTACTTAATTATGTTTTGTTTTTTGTGTTATGAGATTATATAATTATGATTATGATAAATAATAGAATTTTTTTTTGTAATTTTTATTTAAATAAAAATACTACTAAATATTGACAAATATTGAGATAATTTATTGATGTTTATATATTGATTTTATATGAATAAACTATTTAAATAATTTAAATCATTATTGTATTAATAATTAAAATTCATAATTTGAAAACACAAATATTCAGTCAAACTGAGCGCCGGATTTTGGCGATAGGTCTGCATCGGCAGCGACGGCGGTGTGAACTCAAATACGTGGACTGTTTGGTCAGCACCGGTAGCGTTGGTCGGCCAGGGATAGTACGTCTCCGTCTGGACAATCTGGTAGTACTCGTAATAACAGTCGGGACACTCACCGCACACACGCTTACAGTCGACTGTCGGGTCGCCGGCGCTGTACTTGCTTTGAAAACTTACGCTCACATTTCGGTCGTAGGCCAAATAATCGGACGGATATTCATTGGTTTTGTTTATAAAATAATTGATTTCGCATTTAAACAGGCATTCGTGATGAGAAGGGTTGCTAAACAACCGGCGCTCCCGACATCCATACGGGACGGGCAGGGAATGGACAACAGTTTTCCGGTAGTCAATGAATATTTGGTTAAAAGTGGGTTTGATTTTCTTTACACCTTGCTCGTATTGTTTTGTGATAACCCGGTGCCGGTGGTGCATATGATAGACCAGCTCCGGTCCGAAATTCATATCGTAAATATAAACCATGTCGGTCAGAGCGGTCCCTTTACCAGGTTTATTTGC